CAGGTTGACCTGACCCCACCACCCTCGACCCCCTCCTAATCCTGTGCTCCTAGGGGATGGCGCACGGCGTGGCTCAGTCAGAAATGCAGGAGACCCGCTCCTCCGAGCACACACCGGCCTCAGTTTTGTTCCAACAGGTTGGCAGAACCTGACGCAGAACTGGAGGGGGCTGGGGCGCGTCTTTGCGATCTCCCGCCGCCCTCCGCCTCGGGGGCCTCCCGGAGTGGGTCAGTCCTGGTGGGCGCCGGCCGAGCTTCGACGGAGCGGGACGGATTCGCAGCACTCACCGTGGGCTGGGCGCGGGCGGGGACGTGGTCCTGCGGGCGCCGCGCTCGCAGTAGCCCCGGGACGCCCTGGACAGCGACCGCTGCTAGCAGCCGCTGGCGCCGACGACTGAGCGCAGCAGGTCCACCGCGGCTGCGGCAGGGGGCGGGGGCGGGGGCGGGACCTGGTCTGCTCGCTCCGCCCTGCTTCGTCCCCGCCCCCGCGATTCCCCGGCGCCCCCACCGCCGCCCCGGCCGGGTGAGGGTCTCTGCGCCCGCAGGGTCTGGCTGGAGAGCCTCCCCCGGGGGGCGGGGCGTCAGTCAACCCACAGGTGGGTGCAGACGCGGGTGGGGTGGGGGGGTGGAGCTCCACTCTGCGTCAGGACCCCCTCCCCCTGGCCCCAGACAAGCCAAAGTCGCTGAAACCAAAAAAGACGCGCCTGGCCCACAGAGCAAACTTTTCTGGAAGGGCTGCGCAGCCACCTTCGGAGTCGTCCTCCCAGCCAGTGCTGTCGCCTGCATCAACCTGGAGCCGTCCTGGGTCGGGGGACTCCGCCATCTCGGGCCTAACGGCTCCCTCTTCTCAGGGGGACAGACGGCACCCTGGGCGATCGAGTGCTGCAGTCATCAACCCAGGATGCCCATCACAACCCTGAGAACCTGTTGGGGTGATCCTCCCCATGGCCCAGATGAGGCCCCAGACACCCCAGGTTGGGCCACATGCCTGGTCATGCAGCCTGTAGAAACCCCCAGCCTGGGCTGGACCCTGCCCATGCATTCCCCGGCCCACTTTCAGTGTCCCTCTCTGCGCTTCTCTCCCCTGCATGTCCACCAGAGCGTTTTGAAACTTGGTGGGGATCACCTGTAGAGCTTGTTAACATAGATTGCAGGCTCACCCCAAACCTACCGATTACAAAAGCCTAGGGACTAGGGCCTGCCATCTGCATTTCTAACAAGCTGCTGGTGGGGGTCCTGCAACCACACACTTGGAGAACCGTGGGGTCTGTGCAGAGGTTCTGGACCTGTCTGAGGAGCCCAGTGTCCCTGGATCCCCAGCCCTGCCTGTGGCAGATCCAGCTGGACCCTCAGAGCACCTTGTGCTTGGGTATGAGACTGAGATTTGGAGTTTTCACCCCAAAGGACATTGTCTCTCGTGGTGCAACTCCAGGAAGCATGGGGACAGAAAGGCCTGGAACCCACTCCAGCTCAGGCCCAAAGGCAAGGACAGTACTCTGGAGGCCAGGGGTCAGCTGAGCTGAGGGGAGGGCCAAAGCCTGGAGGAGCAGAGCTCCACCAAGGAAGGCAGCCCATCTGGGAACAACTGTGCCTTTCTTTGAGCCTCCCCCTAAAGGTTGCTGCCCCCCTCACATAGGGATGGGGTGGGCACTGCTCTGAAGAGGCCACCACCTGTGTCCACTTTCAGATCCATACTCACATCCAAGCCACCCTGTGCCCATCTGTGCAGGATAAGACAAAGAACTACCATGAGTGTGTGCGTGTGTGTGTGTGTGTGTGTGTGTGTGTGTGCATTGCAAGGTGTGGGGACAGCAATGCAGGTTGGGCTCTCCTAGAAGCTCTGCCCCCGGGCCCTACTTCCATCCTGACCCAGCACAGCCAGGCAAATGGGGGCAGGGGGTGCTCAGGAAATGCATCAACTGCTTGGGACAGAGATGAATCAGGGAAGCAGGGGAGGGGGCCTGAACCCTATGCCACCAGCTGTCACTTGGCTTCCTTCTGTAGGGGATGTGAATCAGGCGGGGGGCAGCTAGTCCTTCCCTGGGGTGCTGGCAGGTCCTGAGCCAGGATTTTGGAGCTGGTGCCCCCCCCCCCGCAGTCCTGCGTCAGGTTCTGCCAACCTGTTGGAACAAAAACCGGGTCTGGTTGCCATGGTGATAATAATGGCTTGGGGTGAAGAGATGAGACTCTGCAGCTGCTGTAAACAGGAAGTTAGGAGGGGCTGCTGCCAAGGGAGGGGGCCCCTGCTTGAACCTCCCCATCCCATGCTCTGCAGGAGCCCGAGGTGGGGCCAGTGGCATCAGAGGCACCAGCCCTGAGACTAATTAACCACCTTGTTGGTGGAGGGTCCCTGGAGACCTCACCATTCTCCTTACAGATAGGGACCTGAGGCCCTAAGAGGAGAAAGGGCTTGTCTAGTGCCACACAGCAACAGACTGGGTCCCAAGCCTCAGTTTCCCCAGGAATAGACGATCCCCAGGACCTACGTCCACACACACTTCCAGGGGTGGGAGTGATCCCCATTTATGCCTAATCCCTTCATTCTCCCAACCTTTTCTGAGACTGAAGTCAGGGCCACCTGAGTCAGTCAGACCCTTTCCCTGTCGTTCCCCTCTGCTGCCCTGGGCCTCAGTTTCCCTCATTTGTAAAATAGCAGCACCTATTCTGGGAGCTGCTGGGGGACCTCAGGGGGTGGGTCTCAGCATGGAGCACGTGCTGGTTACTGTCTGCTGTACAATCCTCAAGTCCAAGGGGACAGGAACTGCCGCCCCATCCCGCCAGACCTCCAGTGACCTGGGGACTGTTTCTGCCACTCCCTGGTTGGGGGTAGGAGCCGGTCCTGTTGATGATCCCACATCTGGGAGTGGGCAGGGAGGGTGCCCCAGGACCTGCTCTGAAGTGTCACGCTGGCCCCTCTGCCCCAGGCCCCTGATAGTGGTTCTGAGTAGCAGAGGCAGCTGCCCTGCTCCAGAGACGGTGAGTGGCAGCGCAGCGAGTTAGGGCACAAGACATTCTGCCTAGAGGGGGTGTGGACTCTGTGGGGCCAGTGGGGTGGTGGGCTTCACATCCTCTGGGGTCCACACTCTCTAGCCTTCTGGCGGGAAAGGGGCTGGCAGGTGGGGGGAGTGGCTTTTCCTTCTTCTGGCCAGGAGAAAAACACTCGGCTCTGGCTAAACATTCTGATGTTTGCTGCAAGGCAGGAAAAGGGCAGCGATATGGGAGTGGGGCCCCACACAGGTTTTAATAACTCACCAGCTCACCCCCTCTGGTGGCAGCCCTTGGAATTGCAGGCACAGCCTCCTGGCACTCAGGCTCCTCCCACTGCCCTCCAACTTCCCCAGCACCCTTCCAGGACAGAGGCAGGAAACGGGGGCAGACCACGCGGAACTCATGGAGGCAGGGCCCAGAGACTTGGGCCAGGGTCACTGCCCGCTCTAGGCTGGAGGATCCTGAGGACTGCAGGAATCTGTCCCATCCTGGGTGGTTCTGCCAGCAGAGGCGGCTCTAGGTGGGAGAGTGTCTGGCCCAGATAGCTCCCTGCCTGAGATGCTGGTTCTTGATAGTTACTAAAAGCTCAGTGGGGGGGCGTTGCCAGAACCTGCACAGGTGGAGCCTGTGCCAGGCCCAGGTGCTCTTGGGCCTCAGGCTGAGGCTTGTGTGGGGCCTGGGGCATGGAAGCATCATCCACTGTCCACTGGCGTTCCAGTCAGCTTCTGGCCCAGGGGCGGGCGTGCCAGGGGCCGCCTCTCGCAAGGTCGCCTCCCGCACTCACCAATTTTGGGGGCAAGGACATCAAGAGACAGAACTGCAGGAGGGCCCAGCTTCTTTCTCTGCACAATTGGGGGCTGACGCACCCTTGTCCCCCATTCTAGGTTCATTTTTCTTTGGAGGAATGGGAGGGCAGCGTGAGCACCCAGTGAGCCCATCTTCAGGAGGGCATTGGGAGGACGTGGTGGGTGGGCCATCTGAAAGGGTAGAGCTCAGGAGGGAGGAACCCAGGCCTGTGCCCTGTGACTTTACTGCTTCCATTGCTTGTAGGAGCTCAGCTCAAATGGTCTCCTGCCAGATCCTGGAGTCTCTGGGTGAACCTGATGAAGCCAGCTGTGGCGTCTGGGGACAGCAGGGTGGATGGGACCCTGGCGCTCCAGCCCTGTGGGGCTCACAGCTTCGGCAGATGGAGTCACAGTGTCTGGAAGCCTCTGTGAGTCTCCTGGGCCCCTGCAGCAGGACACCCCCAGACTCAGCAGCAGGGTGCTCCTCCCTCTGGCCTCCCTGCTGGAGCTGGCTCAGACTGGTTGGAGCCAGCCCAAGTCAGTGCCGGGCCTCCAACCTGGCAACTCGTCGTCATGGTAACCTCAAACTGGAGGCTGCCCATGGCAAAGCCTGATGTGGTGGGAGGGCCCTGGCCCTGCTGGTGAGGGAGCAGGGTGGCCTGTGTGGGTGGACACAGAGCTGGCCCGTCCAGGGTATGACTCAGACCTCTGAGTAGTCGTTCCTGGGGAGATGGAAGCTGAGGGCTCCCAGCCCATCTCACCTGTGGCTGGGCTCCCCTGGGAGCCCTAAGTCTGGATTCTTGTGCTGCACCTACATAATGGCCAGGCTGAGCTCCCACCAGCCCTGGACACATTGTCCCAGGAGCCCCATCAGGGTCTGAGCCAAGGGCTTGTGTGCACCTTGGTGCTGAGGATGGTGTCCCACTCCCTGAGGAGGCCCATCCAGGTGACAAGAACAGTCCCAGGTCCTCAGTGGGGAAAACCTGCTCCAGCAGGCCATGGGGGCGCAGGGCAGGGCCAGCGCAGTGTGTGTGCTGGCCTCGGCTGCCCATGCCCAGGTCTGAGGGAACAAAAGGGGCGATTTGACTGCAGCTCCAGGGGACGTCACCCACTGCGGGCCACTGAGGGTCTAATGCAGGAGGCAATGGGGATTCCCAAGGCACAGCAGCGGGGGGATGAGGTGGGGGGGTGGGGATGGACAGGAAAAGGACACACCCTGCAGGCAACAGATTGTGGAAATGTTTTAATTAGAGGATTCTTAGATACAGTGGTTAATCTATTGCCCACAATTCCTAATTAGGCGCCTCATGCTGGGAACACACTCTCTTCCCTTACAGTAGAAACAGAATGATCACATTTCATAGTTCTCGTGTTACAAGATTCACATCTTTGTTAAGCCAAGGACTGTGGCACAAAAGGACATTTCATTAGCCCAAGTCACGACAATTTGCTAGAAACATCGATTACTTTAGAATGCTCTTAACTAGAAAATATATTGCATTTCCATATATATTAACCATATACATGTGTCACTATTACTAAGTGTAGTTCAGTCATTACAAAATAAGACATTCTGGAAGGGGCTATACACACATGACCTGCTGAACCCCCCCAGTAAGGCCCCCTGCATTAGGAATAATCGCGAACATCCAACCAAGAGCTCAGAGCTCAGCACCCTGACAGACGTCCAGCTAAGCAAGTGAACAAGGCACTGGGCCCTCGGGCCACGCAGGTGCTGTCGGCTGAGGGGGCAACATTTTGTGGGGTGAACGGACGCACCCCTTCCTGGCCGAGGGCCCGGATGACCAGCCCTCCCTTCGCTCCCCACCCCTTCGGGGACCATCCCCGCTTCAGTCCGTGTGCCGGAGCCACAGGCAAACTGGTTCTGACAGCGAGGGTCCTCGGGGAGGGAGGGGCAAGGCCAGCTGGTACGGGGCCAGCTCCAGGCCTCCGGTATGGTCAACACTGTGCTTGCTGGGCCCAGAGGCCAGGTCCCCTGCTGCCACTTCCTGTCTCCATCTATGGCACCTCCCCGCTGAGCTGGGGTCCAGGCCTGCTTCCAGACAGGACAGAACAGGCAGCCAACTCCGGGAAGCTCTGCTGCGGGCTCAGTCAGGCTCCAGGGTGCCTTCTGGGGAGAGCGGCCTCCTTGGGCGACCAGGTTCAGAATGCTTCAGGAAACAGGAAGAGCATGCGACAGCGGCCCTCAAAGCTGCTCTTGGGGTGTCCTGGTGCCTGGGACCACCTGCGCATAGGGGTGGGGCCGATGCAGTGAGCATGGGAGGGCTGTGGGCGCTACAGGCAGAGGCCTAAGGGCAGCCGAGGCCTAAGGGCAGCCGAGGCCTGGGCAGGCAGTGCACTACCGGATGCGAGGCCACGTGCCCTGTCCAGAGGCAAGGCAGCATCGCCACGGCGCAGCCACCCTCGGCCAGCCACTGAGGAGGGCCCATGGCTTGGATGCAGTCCTCACTCAGACTCGGCCCTTGCCTGGGTTCAGGCACCTCGTCCTCCTGATGGCTCGGGTGGCGCGTGCTTTAGAAAGGTCTTGATGCCAGTCCCAACCTGATCAGATCTGAACGCTAGCGCTCTATGGCCTGAAGACCCACGTGCGGGGGACAGAAGCCCTGGACACACGCCATCTCTGTACACAGCACTATTTACAAAGGACCAGGACAAACGCCACGCAGGGCCCAGGCACAGGCAGCAAGATGTGTTGGCGCTGAGGCCGGTGCTCTGTGAGACCTGCGGCTGAGTGCAGAGGGCCTGGGCACCCCAAGGCCGCCTCCTCACACTTTTAATGACGATAATGCAACAAAAACCTTTATATAAACAGTTTATTTACTCTAAACAGCAACACAGACAAAACGCCATATAAACACAAAGGAAGTGATGCGGAAACGAGAGGCTGGCTGACTTTGGATCTGAGGCTCATAGCAACACAACCCGGGGTCTGCAGAGAGGACAGAGGTGTGAGGGCGGGGGACAGGCTGATCTTTTTCGTATAGCCAGCTCGACGCTACGTGTAAGCTCTGACGGTGGGAAGCATGCCTGCACCCGCGAGCAAAGGGAACTAGCTCCTCAGGGACTCATCGAAGTATAAAAGTTTATAATTTTACAGCAGTTGAAATACTGACATCAATATTAAAATAAAAGCAAGTTTTACATTAACAATCAAAAATACAAAAGACTGAAGGAAGAGACCCTGTATGAAAAACTGGGCAATTCAGCGAGTCGAGAACTGTGTACCAGTGGCGGAAATGGAAAATGGCGCCCGCCCGCCTCCCCTAGTGACTAGTAATTGTACAGAGCAATGCTAGATCTGCAAAGGCTGTAAACAAGTTCTTGCCAAACCAATCCCTTCCTTTTGATGCTGCCGCAGGTCGCTGCTTATGAGGGTGCAAACTTCTTGGCTTGTGCTCGAACCCTTTTCTCGTATTCCACTCTGTTTTGGCTGAGGAGGTCAAGAGAGAGACACGTTAGAAGGTGCAGCTGGCTTGCCTGTGGGCTGAGGGCGCGGCAGCCGCTGCGCCCAGGAAGCCCCGAGTGAGCCGGGGTGGCTCCTGGGCCAGTGCAGAGTGGAGGCCCCAGTGCAAGGAAGGAGAGCAAGGTCACAGGGCGAACAGCGGGAGGCCGGAGGGTGGCCTGAGAGATGGGCCTGGGCCACAAGTGCCGGCTGTGAGGGCTCCAACCTTGGAAGGATTTTCCCAACGTCAACCAGTGAGTTTTTTCTTCTAAACCCTAAACAGCATTAACCATTTAAGAGCAAATATAGATTGCTCAGTTAGCCTTCAAAAACAGACACTGACTTTTGGTGAGCTTCCCCATGGGCTCTGAGTCCCAAGTGTGAAGGTGTGGAGGTGGGCGCAGCTCGCTCTATGGTGGATGGGGGAGGGCCTCGGCTGGGTCGCCAGGGTGAGGACCGCTGCCAAAGAAAAGGAGCTGGTGGGCACTGCCTAGGCCAGGGTGACAGGCAGGGTGGGACAGCAGCAAAAATGCCATCAGTGGGGAGAGACCAGTTGCTACCAGGGGATCAATATGATCTTGAGGCCCGTGGGAACAGGATGACGTTTATGGACAGGACTCCTTGACACACCAGGTCAGTGGTCTTGTCAAATCCCTCGGGGCCACTCAGGGACCCCACTGGAAGCGCAGGCAGTGTGTGCCCTTGAGGGCACTCACAGCCCGGTAAGAAAGCCAGGGCTCCTTCCAAGCCCAAACCATGAGCTCAGCAAGCATGGCCTCTCAGAGCACTGGTCCCGCCCATGGCGTAGGCCCTATGGCTGAGGGACAGAGGCGCCAGTGCAAGCATTTCCCTCAGCTTTGCCCAGTGCAGATGACAGGCCCCTCTGGGCCTCCCTGGGGAAAGGCTGCAGAGCCAGAACCAGCAGAGGTGGAAACCTGCCCAGAGCCTGCCAAGTGGGCACCGTGCCCAGGCACACACCGGTCCTAGGTCAGGGTCAGTACCACACCCAGCAAGCTAAGAGTTGGGCATGAGGGCCACAGAACAAGCTTCTGCGGCCAGGCTGTGCTGGGGGCAGTCTGTGCTCTCACCTGGCCAAGGGCCCAGTCCCTCACGGCAAGAGGCAGCTGGCTCGGAGGGCTCTGCAAGGAGCCAGAAGCAACAGCAGAGGCAGCCCAGGCTAGCCCTGCCACTTATCAAGTGAGGCCAGGCACAGGGAGGCTGCCCTGGAGCGCTGGGGCACCTGCCAGTGTAGGACATGCCTGTGACCTTCCGGAAACACAAGAAAAAGATCTAAACGTTCAGGCACATTTCACAAAAGGTGCTTTTAAACTGGATGCTTACGGGATAATGTCTCGTGTGTGACGGCATCAGCAGGTGAGGACCCTGAGGTACACAGAAGACACTATCAGCCTGGGCAGCCTGGGGTCCACACCACGGGGAGCACCCTCGGCGCACAGCAGTGACCCTGCGCACCCCTGCTGCAAACAACACAATATACTCAACTACATAGTGAGCACCATGGCCAATGGGCCCCAGGCACACCACTGGGACACATGGATGACTCACCCAACGCCCTGCACCCACTGCGACGCACACCAGGGCTGGCAGGCTCTCTCTAAAGGCCAGCGAGGAGACATTCTGACTTTATGGGCCACGTGGTCTGCGATGGCTCAGGACCCAAGTGGCCCTATTTACAAAGAGGCGCAAGCCGACGGGGCCTGTAGCAAACGGATGTCTAGTGAGAACCACATGGCACCTAGCTCACGGGTCAAGGTGGGCGGACGCATCTCCCAGAGTCACTGGTGCACAGCAGCCAGTAAGACAAAAGTGAATTCGAGCTCCGCTGGAGTCACTTACAGCAACACCCTGAGGGCTGAGGAGGAGATGGGACTGAAGTCTGAAGCCAGGGCAGCCAGGCCAAACAAAGGCAGGATACCTGGACCTCAGCCTGAGCCCCAGCCCAGAAGCGCCTTGCTGCCCTTGGCCACCAGGGGGCGCCCCCAGCCAACAACTAAGCTGAGCCCAGGGACAGGAAGCCATTTTTGGGGGAGAAATGCATCTCCTGCAACCTGGCTCTTCTCTCAGCTGGACGCAGGCCACCTTGCATGACAGCTGCTCAGAGTAGCTTACCCTCTGACCTGCTCCAATTTCAGAAACGCCCCTCTGGAAGAAACAGGCCCTGCCTGGCCTCTCCCTGTGGGCCAGCCCTTTGGGTTCCAGGTTTCCAAACATGGCAGATGGATCAGTGGGGGTCACAGCCCTCAACCCTGGCATAAGGCTCCACCCTGACCAGCCCAGGAGCCTGATCAGCAGGGCCAGGGTCCTCTCCCCTGTCCACCCAGCCAGCCTCACCCACTAGGTTTAACCCCATCGCTCACACCGTCACCCCCAGCCCTCCTCCCAGTAGACAGATGCTGGACCATAACAGTGCCACGCAGGGAAGGGCTGGGACGTGAAGTAGTGGATGCCCAGCACCTGGGTGACCAAGAGCAAGTCAGGGGCACTGCTCCCCTGTGGGACCATGCCCATCAAAGGCACCACACCCAGATAGGGGGACACAGAGGACAGAGGTGGGAGGTCTGGGCCCCTGGGAGAGCTGCGCTGCCGGACTTGCCTCCTCCTGTGGTGTCCACGTCCTTCCTTCTGATCTGGACTAGGCTCCTGGAGGCCACAGCCCATCAGGCCCAAAGTGGCTGTCTTGGCAAGCCCCCCTGCACTCCCCACTGCCATTGCTCTGGCCACACCTGCCCTGGCCTCCTGTCCCTGCCACGTCACCACAGGCCCTTTGCACGTGCAGCTCCTCCTTGGATGCCTCCCTGGGCCACCTCACATGGTCCCCACTTTGCAGTGCCGACCCTGGATGCCAGGTGAGCTTATGTCTTAGGCCGCCCTCCTGGGCTGCTGGGAATGTCAGGACTGTCCACCCACCCGCAGCTGGCCTCACCTTCCCCTTCCTACAGGCCGCCTGATGGGACTTTCAGGGAAGGCCATGCAAGCCAACGCAAGGTCACAGTGAGTGGGGCCAGGTCGCCACTAACCAGTAAATTGTGTAGGCCTCTGCTTGAGCTGGATCTTGAATATTTGGTTCATTTAGAAGTTCCTGTATTCCTAGTAAAATCTGTGTAAGAGATAAAACAGAGCAAGGTGGGAGGTCAGCAGTTTGAAAGGCCAGCTTTTCTGGGACATCAGCCTCAGTGACTGAGAAAGACCCCAAGTTCCCAGTCCCGAAGGTCCAGGTGAGCCCTGTGCACCGCGTACCTGCTTAATCGTGATGGCTGGCCTCCAGTCCTTGTCCTCCTCAAGGATGGACAGGCACACGGTGCCTGAAGGGTACACGTTAGGGTGAAATAACGGTGGTTCAAATTTGCCTGGACCACAGAGAAGAAAGGCAACGTGTTTTTGGTGGCAGTCGTCCTACAGAATATGTCCTGTCCTAACGACGTCCCCTCTTCCCCTGCACTGGGGCACCTTGCTGGTCACCAGGAATTTGGAAAAAAACTCTTTAGAAAAACAAAACTGTGGCACAAGGTGAGAGGAAGTAAGAGACGAGTAAGTGTGTGCCTCCCTGACACTCGGGCGGAGCCACGACCGCTCCTAGGACCCTGCTCCAGGACGACAGGCAGGCAGAGCCGGGCCCTGGGGGGCCTCCCCACACCCCTCCCGAGCCAGTCCAGATTTGGAAGGAGCTGGTGCACCCGGTGAGAAGGGTCCTGGGGAAGCAGCCAAGGCCTTTCCAAATGAGTGGCCATTTTCAAAGCAGTTCATTCTGCTTCAAAAGCAGAGGCTTTTAGGACCCTGTATTCTTTCTTTAAAAAAAAAAAAAATTCTTTTTAAAAAAGTGAATACATGTAGAGTATTAGAAAATATAAGAGCAGGAAAAAAATTGCAATGAGCCCACCCAAGGATCGTTATCTACAGCTGACATTTTAGCATATTTCTTATTTTTTTCCTGGGTACTTTTCTCCCTTTGTCTTTATTTTAAAATATTAATTATACCCAGAAAAATGCAACAAGACTAGTACAGCTTGATGAATTACCAAAAAAATAAATACATCCACCAACACCAATGGCTTCCAGAAAATTCCCTCACACATTGCCCACTCGTTCCCCGACCTGGAGCCCCCACCCTTAGGGATGACGTGTGGGACTGCAGACCGCACGAGGCCCACCTGTCCTCATGGGTCGTGTTAGTCCTAGCAGGGAGTGCCAGTTACTCCCTCCACTGCTGCAGCACAATGTCCACTGAAGAGACTGGCTGCCCGTGAACCTGCCCAGCGCACTGTAGGTACACATGTGCGCCATTACGGATACACGTTCCTGAACGTAAATTCTGGTGCACGACTGCATTTGAAATGCTGGGTCACAAGGTGTCTGTGTTGACCATGAGTAGATACTGCCAGTTTCCCAAATGTTGTACTCACTCCCATCCCATCAGCAGGGCCTGAGCTCCCACCACTTCACAGCTTTGCCAGGTGGACTTCAGCCACTGTTAAATGAACCGTGGTTGCCTTTTGCAACGCTAGTTTGCATTTCCCTGGTGACTTGCGAGGGTGAGCACCCTCATTCACCGCAACATACTGGCTACTTCTTTGGAGAAGTTCTTGTTCAAGTCTCTTGCACATTTTTCTACTGCATTGTATGTTTTGGTGAACACAAATTCCTAATTTTAATTTAATCTCATTTACTGATCGTGTTTCTTTTCTAGAAAAGGACACCAGTGTCATCCATCCCCCAAACTCCTCAACCCCCTTTCCAGTCTGGCTGGCTCTCCTCCATACGAAGTCACCCTCCTGGCTTCTCACATCATCCATCACACGGCCCGTGGCTGACCTTCATAAAAGGGCTCCAGCACAAACCCCTTTGTGTCTGGCTCCGTCCACTCAATGTCATGTCTGGGAGATTCATTCATGTTGCGTATACAAGGTCAGACAATTAAGTGCGCGAACTCGTCCTAGAAAAAGTGCTATGTACCTCAATGCTGAATTTCACTACGGTCACCTTTGAAGTACTCCCCTTGGGAAGCTATGCACTGATGCCAGCGCTTAGTCCACCCTTGAAAGCAATTTTGGAACTCTTTTTCTGGAATGGCCATCAGAGCTGTCATTGTATTATCCTTGATGTCCTGAATGTCATCAAAATGTCTTCCTTTCAATATTTCCTTTATCTTTGGGTAAAGAAAGAAGTCATTGGGGGCCAGATCAGGTGAGTAGGGAGGGTGTTCCAATACAGTTATTTGTTTACTGGCTAAAAACTCCCTCACAGACAGTGCTGTGTGAGCTGGTGCATTGTCGTGATGCAAGAGCCATGAATTGTTGGCAAAAAGTTCAGGTCGTTTTCATCTAACTTTTTCACACAGCCTTTTCAGCACTTCCAAATAGTAAACTTGGTTCACTGTTTGTCCAGTTGGTACAAATTCATAATGAATAATTACCGACTTCAAAAAAGGTTAGCAACATTGTTGCAACAAGTTCGTGAATTTGTCAGACCTGTACTTCCAGATCCTTCATTCTTGCTGCTGCACTCATTTATCCATTCTATTGTGAATGGACACTTGTGTTGTCTTTAGCCCTGAGCTCTTACAGATGGGGCTGTCATAAACGTGCCTGTCCATACCTTTTGGTGAGTACATGAATGCAATTTCCACTGTTTACTTGAATGGAGCAGCTGGGTCCTGGGGTAGGCATAAGTTTAGCTTCAGTAGATTCGGCAGACAGCTTTCCAAGGGAAATGTTCAAAATTCACTCTCTCTAGTAGGCACTTAGAGGTCCTGCTGCTCGGCAGGCGCTGCAGCCTCTCCCGACCCATTTATCTGCCGTTCACTCTGTGGTTATAACTTGCAATTCTCGGGTAAAGTTAGGAATCTCTTCCTACGCAGACTGGCCAGGTGGAGAACCTCCTGTGAAAGGCTGTTCCATCAAATGGTTGTTTGCCTTTTTCTTATTGATTTGTAAATGCTCTTGATATATCCAGGACAAGTACTGATGTACACATACAGTCTTTCCCCTCTTCACTCTCACTGGTGTCTTTTGGTGAAGAGATGGTCTTAATTTCAATGTAATCCACTTGATCATTTTCCCCCTCTGGGGGAAAAGCACTTCTCATGCTTCCCTGGTTAAGAAATCTCTGCCTCTCCAAGTCATGAAGACATCCTCCTATCTTCCTCTAACAGTTGTACGGTCCCACCCACCTTTCTGCTGGGTGTCATGCTCCATCTGGAAGGCTTCTGTCTATGGCAGGAGGGAGACTGAGTTCTCCCTTCTTCCACTGGGACACTTGGTTGCCCCAGTACATGCACTGGAAGCTCATCCTCTCCCCATGCATTGCAGCGTCACCTCTCTCATAAACCTCGCTGGACTCTTTGCTCTGAGTCTCAATTACTGTGTCTCTGTAGCAGGTCTGGGTACTTCTAACACAATGAGCTTAGACTGGGCCTCACCGTTATCCCCTACTAGAATCCTGAGGGCCATGGCGATTTTCAGCACTTTGTACCTCCTACATTTTAGAGCCTGCGTGACAATTCCCATAAAAATCTGCTTGGATTCTGATTGGGATTACACTGAATCTGTAATCAGTTTGAAGAGAAATGACATCTTCATAACAGCATGTCTTCTGATCCGTAAACACAGCTTACGTAGCCAGTTATTTAGGCTGTCCTTGATTTCTCTCAGAAATGTTTTAGTTCTCAGTACAGAGGTCTTAAACATCTTTTGTTGGATTTATCCCAAGGTACTTGATGCTATTGTAAAGGGTATAGTTTAAAAGTTTTCATTTGTTGCAAATGTTTGAAAATGGATTTCTGTATAGTAACCTTTTATTCAGCAACCTTAATAAACACCTAGAGAAAGATGGTCTACAGCAGCGGTTCTCGACCTTCCTAATGCCGCGACCCCTTAATACAGTTCCTCATGTTGTGGTGACCCCCAACCATAAAATTGTTTTCGTTGCTACTCTATAACTGTAATTTTGCTACTGTTATGAATCGTAATGTAAATATCTTTTTGTTTTCCGATGGTCTTAGGCGACCCCTGTGAAAGGGTCGTTCGACCCCCAAAGGGGTCGCGACCCACAGGTTGAGAACTGCTGGTCTACCATCTGTCTTCTTTTCCTACTCGCTGCTAGGATTTCTTTTTCTGCCTTGTTGCCTTTGCTTGGAATTGCAACACAATGTTGAACAGAAGTGATGAAAGCAGCTACAATTTGTCTCATTTCTTATTTAAAGTAATATCTGCACGTGGCAAAAAAAAAAAAAAAAATCAAACAGCAAAGAGCCACCCCAGATGAAATAAGTCTCCACCCCAGTGGTTAGCTGGTAAATTGTTAATTAAAAAAATTCTTCTGGTAGACATGATTATAATGGAAAACATACTTATATCTTTTGAATCACTAAACACAAGAGTTAACAGTTACAAGTAATCTTGTCCTCCCATATGCTGGGGCACACATTAACGTGTTTGATTAACTTGCCGTGGACGGTGCTTGTTGATTTCCAGCTGCCAGAAGGGAGGGATCTGGTGCCCCCTCCCAGGCCTGAGTTTTGCTAAACTGTATCATGACAGTCTAGCCATAGCACTGTTTTAAAGGCAGCCTCATACTTTTCTTCCTGCTGCCTTCTCTGGAGGCTTTAGTGCGCTAGGCTGCAGGCGCAGCTACAAGTTGGATGTGAAATTCTACCAGACAACAGGTTGAGGCAAACGAAACTGGCTTAGGGTGAGGTTCTGAGTGGTGGTCCTTCTGCACGTCCATCCCCAGCTGGGGCTGGTACAGAGTGGCTTCATCCCTGATGGGCACTAAGGGCCCAGGAGCCTCACCTGAATCTCACCATCCTTCCCTCCAGGGCCCAGGAGCCTCCCCGTTGTCGAGCCAGGACCCAAGACTCGGCCTGTTAGGCACACCTCCCACCCCTGGGCCAGGCACACTCAGATCCACAGCTGGTCGCAGGGATAGAGTGCTGGGGCTGTCCCACGTGGAAGGAACAGTGTGGGACATAGCCAACACCCCCGGAGGCCGGGCTCTCTGAACAGGACTCAGGTTTCTGCTGCAGCACAGCCGAAGCAGGCCTTCGAGGACATCATTCGCTGTACTTACATTTCGGCGGTGAGGATGGATAGTCATCTTTGAAGAGCATCCGTAGTTTAAACAAGCCTCCTTCCCACGGGGTCTACTCAGAAGTGAAGCTTTGATTAGTTGTGTGCTGGCCTCTGCTGCAGGGGCCCGGGGGGAGGGCCATGCCACTGCCATGCATCCCCCAGAAACCCGCCCTCAGCCCAATGTTCCCACAACATGACAGGAAGGGTCTCCATGAGCCCCAAGGGCAAGGGGGAAAGAGCCCTCTCTGGAAAGGAGCCGATGGGCAGCCCCTGACGGCTGCCCCTCCAGCCCTGGGATGGGTGTCAGGATCCACACCTGAGGAGATGCAGTGAGGACCTGAGCGAGCTCAAGTGAGGACCCCATCCCTCAGGTCCTTCCTGTCCCTGGGCAGGCCCCCAGCTCCACAGTCCAACATCTCTCCCTAAGCTCCCTAGGGAGGGAGATGGCTACAGCCCATTGGCCGAGGATGGGTTCAGGGGAGGCGGGGGTGCACACTGGGCCCTCAGTAGAGCCTCAGACAAAAGGCAAACCCAGACCACATTGTCTTGTGGACAAAGTCAAACCCTAATCCTGTTGGCTCAGTGCAGGGGAAGGAGACTGTCAGAAAGCACAGGCTAAGCGCAGGGGATTCTCAGGTGGGAGGGAGCGGAGGTGATGAGGCCTCAGCACAACCCAGACACCTCAGGGGTCTCCTCCTTCCCATCAAGTCACCGGGAAGAGACCCTCACTCCCTAAGGCCTCCAGCGCACCAGTTCCAACTGGCCCAGGCACATGTGGGGAAGCCGAGGAAGCAGAAGCATGGAGGACTGTGGCCATGTGTGGAGGACGCATGGGGCCCTGTGTAGCCATCATAGGTGGCTGAGGCCTGGCTCCTGCACTAAGGACCTCCAGCTCCGTCTCCAAGGCTCCTTTTGCTCCCAAAGAGGCAGCAGGGTCTGGGCCTCCCACCCCTGCCACAGCCCAGCTCCTCTCTAAATTAAAAATGCCTGGGGGGGAGGGGTCACATGTCACCCCAACTTTGTCTCCCCACCTTGTCCCCCAGTCTATGTGACTGTCACACGTTATGCACACTTGAACCGAAATTCTTTTGGAGGGTCGAAGCGTCCCCAGCAGTCTGTCCACCCCACACACGAGCGCAGGCGTTTCTTACCCCTTTCTTCCCTGGAATGGCGCACTCCCAGTTCATGAGGTTCATTGTGCCGTCGGGGTTTTTTGTCGGGACAGCCACAAAACCCTGAGAAACAACCACACACAAGCACGTCAGGACCACGGCGGCTCGCGTTAGCCGTTCACAGGAATAGCCCCATGCCTCCCATCGCCCCGCAGCACAACTCAAAACGGCCCCGCCCATAGGAACAGTGTTGTCAGGGGGACCATCCACTGTACTGCACGCAGAAATAAAGCTTTCCTTACAAATGGGTGGTCTTTTCTCCAAGCTTTCCTCTCCTGGGCGAGTCTGCTGAGAGCGATCCCCGACATATTCAAAGTCCTGCAAGAGATGACAGAGATGCGATCAGCAGAAACCCTGGCTCCTTCCGCCTCTTCCCTCACACCTGCCCAGTGAACAGACTTGCTTCCCAGAATCCGGTAAGCAAAGGCTCTCACCTGGCCCAGAGACCACACTCTTACCGAGACTGTGGACGGACATCAGACCCCCACAGGTAACCCCAGCCTCCTGGACACCTGTGTGTGGGCACCTTCCTGCGAAGTGCCAAGCCCCAGAGCTCCACACCCTCGGTCTCCATTTCATGGTGACACAGGTTCAGAGGCAAAGCCACAGGCCTGGGTCACAGTGCTGCTACGTGCTGCACATGGACACTGTGCACTCCCAGAAGACACTTGGCACCTGTCCCCACTCTACAGTCACACGCAGCAGCGGGCTGGAGTGACATGGATCCCAATTCCACCATCAAACTCTATAGGAAAGGCAGGGGCAAGGTGGGGATGTACAGAGCATTAGTCTGAGATCCGGAGTGGGGATGGGGGTGAGCGATGGCGTGCTCCCCTCTGCCGGTGTGGGGATGCGGGGGTATCAGCGCCCAGCTTAGAATAAGGGCTCAGAATTCAGATTCAGGCCTGCCCACGAGGATCACTCTTATTCTGGTAGGCAACTGAGTGGAAAAGGGCCCCAGGGCGGAGGGCAGCTTAACAGCATTTTGGACCAGTCCAGAGAAGCACCCCCATCCCCAGAAGCCAACACGCTCACCTGTCACCAGGGCCCCGGGCCCCTTCCTCTGCCCCCTCCACTCTCAGCCTACAGCCCCGCGAACAACTCATGGATCAGGTCTGTCTCCCATTTACTTCGGGAAAGGCAACAAAAGGGGAGCGAGCAGGCTAGCAGGGCCCAGGAACTCCTGAGCGCACCAGGCAGGAGTGGGGAGCTACCCCGGCAGGCCTGGCCCACCAGACTCTCAAGGCTTAGTGCCTTCAGCTGTTCAAATTAGTGGCCTGGAGCCCGCAGGTAAAGCAGCATCTCCAGGGGCCCGGCACACCAGACCAGATGGTGGGGCACAGGATCCCCACCCCCAGATGCCCACAAGAAAGCAGCCACAGAGGTGACAAGGTCACAAAACCTGCCAGAGAAAACCTGCCCCTAAGTGTGTTTGTTAGGATTCAAAGTCCATGGAAACACTGAAGACATCCCAAATCAAGCAACTGCCATCAACAAGGCTTTAACAAAACAAAGGGGGTGTTTCCTGGAAGTGGGCGACTGGCAGCTTGCCCCAAGTCTTCAGGCTTACACTGCAGCACGAGGCACAGGTCTCTTCCTCTGTAGGGAATGAAGCACCTCAAGTTCCCAAGTACAACGAGGGGTGCCCTCCACAACCACAACAGGGTTCTCAACCCGGTGGGAAGAACACACTTCTGGCGAGGACAACACTGCCAACCTCCACCCAGGCCCAGGGCCACGCCCAGCCTGTTCTAGAGATGGAAGGAGACCCACAGTAACCAGCCCGCGAAGGGTGGAGCCTCAGCTCACCCAGGTGTCTTCCTTCCTGCCTCAGGTGGGAGTGGGGGCTACTCTCCCTTCAGCTGCAGCTCCTGGCCCTAAAAACTACTTCTGCTGCCTAGGCGCCAGCTGACCCCCAACTGCTTCCGCAACCCAAATCGTAGCCTTCACCTGAGCAACCACCCCACCTGGGTGCCCTGCTCCCATACCCAGACTCACACAGTGCAGGAGGGGTTAGGTGTGGTCAACATTTAACAGCAGATGTCAAATGTACTGTTTCCCCAAGAAGTAGGCACTGTGGAAGGAGGGGTTTGGGGCTGTAATCACAGAGAAGCACTGCTGCCTCCAATATCAGCCAGGAGCCTAGGTCTCAGGACACTGCCTGAGTCACTATAAACGGCCCGACCAACCAGATGTGGTGCATTTTCAAGAAAGAGATATACTTATGGCATCTCAAGAAAAGTGAGGGTAAAAAAATCAAAGCCCCCCTGTCAAGAAGCATAACTGTGACAGGTGTGCCAACTGAGGTGTGGTCCCCAGCTCCACTTCTCTGACCCCAGAATGCACCTTTCAACCTGATCCAACCTCAAGATGAAGTCCAAAATAGATAACACCAGGCTTGGAACCAACAGAACTGCTTGGGGTTTCAGCACCACATGACCCCAGAGTTCTGGTCTGCCCATTTCTTCCCTGTCCATGGGCCCCACCCCAGGGACTGGGGTAAGCAAATCATTGAGGGGAACACAACAAACCTGTAGGGATGCTGCCCTGGGGGTGGGGGACATGAGAGGAAGCCATGCGCTGGGGAGTGCTAGGTGCCAGGAGATGCAAAGCAGAGCAATGGGGATGGGGAGGCACTTGCTTTTACATAGTGGCCAGGCAACCACTAGAGCACAGCCTGCAGCAACCTAGCAGGAGACAAACAGTTCCTGGCAGGGTGGGCCAGAGGACAGGGAAGGGTGGGCTTCAGAAGAGGGGTGGCAGTCTGCAGGGGGCGGGGCAGACGAGCACCCAGCCAGCTTGTCTTGAAGGCTCTCTCTGTTCAGAAGTGGGCAATGACAGTGATAACTGGCTGGGAGGCTGGGCAGGTAACCCTGATGTCTGAAAATTCTTCATTTCTAAGTTTCTCAAACCCTTCACTTCAACTGACTCTTCTAAATGGAATGACCCAACACCCTTCCTATCCCCAGCAGAAATGCCCTCTCCACCCCTAGGCTTGAGGGCATAGCACACATTAGCCTCCAAAGTACTCCTGCCCACTGGCTTCCTTGGTGACAAGAACCCCCGGAGGGCAAGCCCCTCACCTCTGACCAGGGCAAAGCAGACAGCACAGACTAGCAGGATGCTTCTGCTGAATTAATGAACACAGTTCTGCGACGGAAGACAAGCAGCCCAGTAAGCGGTTAAGCGAGGCAAAGGTCCCTAGCAAGTCTGAGCTAGGCTGGTTTCTGAAGCCCCAGGCCAGCCCGGAACTGAGGAGCCATGGATACCTGCCATCAAAACAAGGCTCAGAGTGCTCTGGAGGGGCTACGCCGAGCCCAGGCCAGGGCTCAGTAGGGTGAGCCTGAGTGCTGCCTGCCAGCCGTGTGCCGGACCCCGCCTCCTCTGCTCTGAACACCGGACAAAGCTGCCCACGGAGGACCTGTCCTAGCGCCTAGCTGGGCTGTCCCAGGTGTGAAAAGTTAATGAGGGGTAGTCCCACAGGAGCTCCTGCAGCCCACCCCCGTCCCAGGGGTGCCGATGGACCAGGCCAGGCAACAATAAGACTGTTTCTGCCGTCAGGGCAAAAAGCCACAGGTGCTCACCTGCACTGTCCCAAGCAGAAGCCGGTGCTTCCACTCCTGCCGGCCTCCCAGGGTCCAGGAGAAAGCAGCCAATTTATTACATTTTAATTACAACACTGGGAAGGCTCATTCAGAATCCCACTTAAAATGGAAACTGTCTTCCCCAACTAACAGAGAGGCACTAAAAGAGCAGTTATGTGTTACTAGATGCTTCAGCGCAGCAAAGTTATAGATGCAAATATAAAATATCTATGAACTACGAGAGACAGCCTGCAGGACAAAGGCCGAGTTCACCACGCGAAGGAGGGAGGTCTGCCCTCCACCTCCCTCCAGGGCCCTGTACTGGGCTGTGCTTGAACCTGCTCTTCTCAGATCAGCTCTGTTGGTTGACAGCACAGACTTCAGAGCTACTTACTGGCTGCGTGAATGTGGCAAGCTGCTCATCTCCCCCAACCTCAACTTCTTCATCTGTAAACTGGGGGATGGTACTCAGACCCCAAAGGTTTGCCCAAGGCGAAACAGATAGTGCATGAAAAACTCTGGATGGGTCTTTCCCACCCACCCACAAACTCCCCCAGGGGAATGGCATTCTCTTGCCTAACCCAAGCAACCTGCACTCAGGACACCCTCTGCCCAGGCTGTACTTCCTCGTTCTTGTTTGACAAACCTCCCAGGACCCCATGCTGTTTCTGAAACAAGGTCCCAAAACCGGAGACCCACCAGACAAAGGCGCAACAGTAGGCAGAATTCACCCCGGAAACCACCCAAAAGGCCATAAACAAATTAGGACAAACTAGGATCCATCTCCCTTTTCTGTTGGATAGGTAGGTCCTTTACCTAATGGCAACGTCTCTTTAATACTAAGAAACACTCGTGGTTACACTCTTTAAAAGGAAACAAAACGCCAACTTTGCAAACACAGTACAGCAACTTTGCACACCGAGGGGCCAAGCATACTTTCAAAGTACACACACCAAACCAGTTAATACTGCGATTTAGAAGCGACTGCAGGTCATGATCCTGAGCCCAGCTAATCATTCCCTTTCCTCCTACTCACGAGACTACTAGCAATTCCAACCTCCATTCAATTGGTACAAAGCAATCTTATAAACAACTCTCTCTCCAGCGAAGCACTGATGTTCAGGGTCCCACCGACAGCAAGAGGAGCTCTCTAGAGGCGCGAGAAAACTCAGACTTGTTTTGGTTTTTGTTTTTTTTTAGATATCAAACACAAATCCCCCAAACAAGCCAGCGATTTTGCAATCCAAGACTTTCAACTCTATGCTGGGCCTTCTCTCCCTGGCTGAAAAGCGCCACAGGTTTGTGTGCAGACCCGTGACCCCGGAAACGCACCTCCCTCGGTGGAGGGAAGCTCCTGTCAACCCCGCCTCGGCTCCCCAGCGGCACCGCGAGTCCGCGCCGGAGGGGACACCCCCCCCACTTTCACAAGGGAAGGCAACGGGAGCCCGAAGGGGCAAGGCCGGGACTACGCCGAGAACGGGACAGCAGGGTTGGGCGGTAGCCCGCGCCGTCAACAGCTCGGAGGCGGACGGTTCCCGGGCTCGGGGCCCGGGGCGGGTCCGAGGGCGCGCAAGGGGCGGGGGTCAGGGCCCAGAGGTTCGCGGGGTGGAGGGGCGCCCGCCCGGCCCGACGGCGGCAGAAGCCCCGCGCAGCAGAAGCCCGGCCCCCACCCTGCTGCCGCCTCCTGCGCACCCCCCACCCGCGCTCACCTCGGGCGGTCGCAGCCCGGCAAACGAGGCGGACGAGGCGGAGGCGACGGTGGCGGCGCGGCGCTTCCTTTGTCTCGGGACTTCCCTCCCGAGCCCGCTCCGCGCGCAGCCCGAGCGCTCCGAGGACCCCGGCGCGGGCGGGGCGCGGGCGGGGCTTGCGGAGGCTGCCCGCCGCATGCCTGCTCTGCACCCT